AAGACACCAATGTCAAACAGTCTGAGGAAAGTCAATCATCTCAAGACACCAATGTCAAACAGTCTGAGGAAAGTCAATCATCTCAAGACACCAATTTCAAACAGTCCGAGAAAGTGCAATCGTCCCAGGACAAACAGTCTGAAGGAATTCAGTCGGCTCAAAGTGCTAAAAGTGGACAAGGAATGAGAGACCAGTCTTCCAAGAAAAGTAAACAAAAAGTGATCTACGATTCCATAGACGGAAACTTTGATATGGTGATGAAAGCGGACGAAAAGGACCAAAATGAGAATGAGAAAACAGAAATCGACATTACGAAAGTGGCTACTGAGATCTTGAAACATAACGACACTGATGCTATTCTGAAAGCGTTAAGTGACAATGACACGGACAAATTAGATACCTATACTGACGGTGATGCAAGCAATGCAAAGAATCTGGAAACTCAGAAGAAACCTCATTATTATTTTTTAACAAGCAATCATAGCAAAGTGAGTAATAATTCTGCTTTAGAAAAGGGCCAAGACAATCATCATGCAACGGAAAAGAATGAAAAACATCAAGAACATGGTATCCATGGCAACCAAACTGCTGGTAACCACAGCAAGGCAGATGCATCTAGTTTGTATGAACATGCCAAGCAAGCTTTATCGAATGATACTGGAAAAAATAGGAACGATAGTAGTAATATCAAGGTAAACACCCATGAAGATAAAGAGGCTGATAAAGGTGCGAGTTCTGGTGCCAACGACAAGAAAAACAAAGATGGAGAACCGTTGGACCATTCGAAGGAAGAATCTAAGCAGGACACAACCATGGATCAAGATGAAGTAGACTCTACAATCAAGAAACAAGGCGAAAATCTGGAAATCAATAACTTTTCTTCCGACCAAGAAAGCTTGAATTATAATAGGCAAAAAAACAAAGCAGTTACATCCATTGACTGGGGAAATCTTCATGCTCTTAATGCTCTGGTAGAGATTTTAGCTGAGCATGAAACAAATGGAACACAAAACAATACTAACACAAACCAACCGCAAAATGATACGACACCAACGAAAGGCAATGCTGCAGTGATTGAAAAGAAAGCAAAGAATGGTGAGGTCAATACCATAACACAGGGAGCCCAGCCTAATAAAACAAAAGAGACCTCTCATCCTACTCATGACAATGAGAATGCTCCTTTTGCTAGGAAAGATGGAACAACAATGAATATGAACGGCGATGATTATACGAAACATGACGGTGGCAAGCGTCAAAATGTTACAGGAGAAGGAAACGCACGAAGTAAAGCAAATCTGACGATGCCTGAGAATCCAAATGGTGGACAGACAGCTCCTAAAATGATTGACACTTCCAAGAACAGGAAAGACACTTCTGCTGATACAACACAGGGTAAGATGAAAAAGAAGAAAAATGCAACAACAGAGCAAGAGTTTCTGTTTAATCTTTTGAAAGATGTAGTTTTGAGCTTGCACGATACTAATGACTCTACCATTACGACAAAACTCGGCGATGAATTAGACAAAGTTATAAACACGACAACAAAAATGAATTCTGAGAACAATGACAAAAAGTTTACATCTTGGACCGCGTGGACGACGTGTAGTAAGAGCTGCGGTGAAGGAACAAAAACGCGCATGCGTAAGTGCCGTTTGGATAAAAAAGACTGCAAAGGTCCGCTGCATCAAGCTGAAAGCTGTCACGGGTATAATTGTACCGGTAAGGATGCCTTTATTGTTCATTTATCATTAAGTGGATTCCAGAACCCCCCTTTTGTAAGATCTTGTGAAGCCAATCATGTTCTTTACACTCAGTACAATGGATTGGAACTCCCCTTTATGAAGCCAATTCAACTACCAGCTTTTTCTGCGTGGCGATCATTTTCGAACCTCCATTTTTAAATTCCTGTATCCGCCACTAAGTATGGCCGGTTTAATTCGTGGCGGGAACTACTTTATGAAATCTTCCAATTCCATTATTAGGTGTTGATAACACTCCTACCATATCCTTTCAGTTTACTTCGAGAGAATTATTATTTCAGAAACCATTATATTGCCATTTCAATAGTGGATCCAGGGATGTTTTCATCCATGGTTTCATTCCAGTAGAATGAAACTAAAATCCCTTTGTGAATCTGATCACGCTAGCTTTTTTTGTGCAGCGGCCATCATTTTAAAACTCCCTTTTTTAGAATCCTAAAACCTCCACTGCATTCCCAAAAAAATTCAAACATTTTAAGGAAAAGGAGTTTGAGTGATAAGGAAACAATTTAAGTAAGCTCGCTGTCCCATGAAGGTTTAATTCTATACGATTTCTAAATAGCCAAAATGGCTTTTAATGTTGATTGTGGTGGCCAAATAAGTCTGTTTACAGGACTTTGAAAATACTATTAGTTGAGAATAAAATGCAAATCCTTTGGGAAAAAATATTAATAGTAAATCCAGGTCTTTTTGGTATCTTCTCTGAGGGATCACATTTTTGAACCAATCATAGCGTGCATAGGGATGTATGATTATATGAATATATCTCATTGTATATTTTTACCGACATTTTTCAGTCGATGGTGGGTTTACTGAATGGTCCGTGTGGTCGTCGGCGTGCTCTGCCAAGTGTGGTGAAGGAGTCTTCAAAATCCGTAGCCGTACTTGTACGAATCCAGCAGCACAATTCGGAGGCAAACCTTGTGAAGGAGCTTTAACAGAACAACAAGACTGCAAACTGAAACCTTGTGTGGGCTTTGAAATAGCTGGAAAAATTGGCAGTCAAACCATTGTACCAAAGATAGAGACGCAACAAGCTGTAAAAGGTAAAATCTAATGATTCCGGCTCCAGTTTTCATATTCGAGAACTCTGTTAATCATTGTTAAGGTATTTTGTTTTTGTAGAATATTTGCTTGTCTTCCTATGAAGGTTTTTGCACCAAAATGTTTGTACTGTCGAACTTAATTGTGTATTCTTAATTACTGTTGATATTTTTGGATATTGTGAAACTGAAATGAGGCAAACCAAGAGTAAATGAGTCTGCCACCTCATATTACGTCGCCATTATTACTGCTTCGACACCTTCGGAGATTAAAGCAGGCTAAAACCGTTTAATTTGCTAGTTAGAGTTTCGACAAGATTTAAGTTTTACTTTACTTTTATCGAAGAAAAGGGTCTTTGGAGTCCCTGGTCAGCGTGGTCAACGTGTACAGCTACCTGCGGAGGAGAAGGGTATTCTTCACGTGAAAGATCATGTCTTCCTGGAAAACAATGTGCAGGACCAAGATACGATACCAAACAATGTGGAACAGAGCCGTGTCCAGGTAAAGGAACTCTTTATCAGAATAATCCTTTTGCCATCATGGGTGTTCTAAAATTATCTCATCGGTTTTACCACTCCATTCTTAATAATATAGAGGTGCTCTTTCCATTTCTGGTGTTCATTTTGACACAACGCCTCTTTTTACGAGGGTAGGGTCACGTAACCTGTTGTCCAAAAGGCCTTTTACCAATGCACAACCACATCGCGCTTCCCTGTTCTCAAACTCTTACGATATCCCTCTCCATCCCTCACCCCACCCAAAAAAGAAGTAAAAACGTGTTTCCAAAAATCGTATTTTCAATAGGAGGATCCAAATCTTTGTTTAAAAATAACTTTTTCTATTTCTTCTATTTCTTTTACGATCTCCAGTGGAGGGTGGTTATACACCATGGACAGCTTGGTCACCGTGTACTCCATCCTGTGGACTGCGTGCCTATAGAATGCGAACCCGAAACTGCACGAACCCACCACCTTCACACGGTGGAAGAAAGTGTTATGACTCGGCCCTAGAGACTGAGCCATGCATGATCGTCCACTGTCCAAGTAAATAGATAACAAACCAAATCCACTTGAGCGCAACGTTTTTCCATTTCAAACCACGTGTTATTATCTTGAGAATAAGATTTGTTTGCGATGTACCCTTATTTGTGTGTCTTCTAATGGGCAACCGTTAAACAAAGAAATAATACTCATGGGAATGACACGTGGTCTAAAATGGAAAACATTTATAAGTGGGTTTGGTCTATCGTACCCAGACGCTTCTCATTAATTTATCATTTGATGAACAGGATGAGTAGTGCTAGTGTGGAATGGGTGGGGTGGATGGGGTGAATGGTGCTAATGCTCAGCACCATTAAGGCATGGCTCTTTTGAGGAAGTGATGGAAAATCAGTTATTTATTCATATCTTTGACAGTTTACTATGAATCTTTCCCAAATTTGGCTCGTAGTAGTAATTCTTCAAGGCAAGCAATTACCGCATATCTGTTACCATGGAAACCAGGTCACGTGACCACAAGGCCGCCATCTTGGATTTTTTAAAAAAATCGTTTGTAGTCGTACTGAAACTACTTCAAAAGTCCTGAAAATCCATATTCCTTTTGATATTTGCAATACCTATATGGATCTAATTGGATATCTTGGAAATTATATTAAGTTTAATTTTTAGAATATTTTTAATTTTTTGGAAAAAATAGAAAATATTCTAAAAATTAAACTTAAAATAATTTCCAAGATATCCAATTAGATCCATATAGGCATCGTAAATATGAATAGTAATCTGCATTTTCATGACTTTTAAAGATGTTTCGGTATGTTTACAAACGGCTTGTTTAAAAATCCCAGATGGCGGCCTTGTGGTCACGTGACTTAGTTTCCATGGTAACCAAGGCTCTAAGGTTCCTTCTTTTCACAAAAGACATTAACTTGCCAAGTTTGGGGAAGATTGGTAGAAAACTGGCTATGATATACTAATCAGTTTTTCATCTGAGAGTCATGCCTTAATGATGCTGAGTGTAGAGTGGGTGGGATGGATGGTGCTAGTGTGGAGTGGATGGGGTGAATGGTGCTATTGCGGAGTGGATGGAGTGGTTGGAGTGAATGGTGCTAGTGTGGAGTGGTTGAGGTGAATGGAGTGAATAGTGCTAGTGTGGAGTGGGTGGAGTGGGTGGGGTGTATGATGCTAGTCTGGAGTAGGTGGGGTGGATGGGGTGAATGGTGCAGGTGTGGAGTGGGTGGAGTGAATAGTGCTAGAATGAGGTGGATAAATACATTCAAACAGACCCACATATGCAAACAATCTTTCTTATGATTGTAGTTGATGGTGGTTACTCTTCCTGGTCTTCCTGGTCACCCTGTACCAAAACATGCGGTTCGTCATCGCTATCGCAAAGAGAGCGGGCATGTACTAGTCCTGAACCAAGGTATGGCGGCAGACCATGCCAGGGCGATAGCGTCCAGACACGGGAATGTGGAAAACAGCCTTGTCCAGGTATGTACTCATTCGCGACTTCCTTGTGATGAATGTATTGGTCAGCCATTATTAGATAATGATAGAAACCATATGCATGAAAAATGGTGATACCATAACGATGATGGTTTATGGTGATAAAAAAGAGCAAACAAGATCAGTCTGCATCTGCAAAGGAAATAGCGTCGTTTGATTATTTAAGATAAGACATTATTTAAGACAAAAAACAACATTCCAACAAACAAGCAAACAAGCACAAAAACAAAACAAACAATAAACAACAACAACCACAAAACAAACAAATGAAAATACAAAACAAAAAAAAATCAATCAGTGACAGAAATTTCCACTAATGTTTGTATTTTTGAGATTATATAAAGCGGTCTCCTGTAAATCTTTTAAAAACTCTACAATATCGATTATTTTTATAAGGATGTGGTATACGCCTGAGACACCTTAATACTGTATACATATTTTTGATTCAGTAAACGGAGACTTCAGCGACTGGTCGTCATGGACACCATGTGCAAACGTAAGCTGTGGAAGTAATCTTTTCTCCATGCGAAACAGAACCTGTGACAATCCTCGTCCAAAGTTCGGAGGGGAAAACTGCACCGGACACTTAGTCGAGAAGAAGTCTTGCAGGTTGAAACATTGTCCAAGTAAGTAATATTCTAGCATAATTTTACATCATATTTTAGACGATAAAATGGAGTATACCTCTTTACCTTGGGCGTAATGTTTTCCCATATCAGACTTCGTGTCATTCTCATAAAAATAGGTTACCTTGGGTGTAATATTTTCCTATTTCGGACCACGTGTCATTCTCTTGAAAATAGGTTACCTTGGGCGTAATGTTGTCCCATTTCAGACCACGTGTCATTCTCTTGAGAACACGATTCTTTATTGGAGATGTATCCATATTCATGTGTCTTCTCAACAACGAAATGATACTCTAGGGAATGACACGTGGCTCTATATTAGAAAAACATTATGCCCAGTCTAAAATGGTCTATAAGCAGTTGTTATAAAATATAATTTTTCGTTTTAGTTAACGGGGGATTTTCTAGCTGGTCACAGTGGAGCGAATGCCCGAAGAACTGCAAAGTTTCTGGTGTGGCGCACCGAAGGCGCAGATGTGATAATCCCAAACCCCGAAATGGTGGACAGGATTGTGTTGGACCAAAGCTTGAAACCAAAGCCTGTTCAAATACTTGTCCGGGTGAGTTGATTTCAGTGCCGATACTTTGTCTAATAACTAGTATTCAACTTAGGCGAATTTGACTTTTATTAGAGCCAACTAATTGGGAACTAGCATGAATTCAAAATGGAAACTGATTTCGTGATTCTTTGAATTTAGACCTATAACCTATATCGTCTACGAATCTCTACGAATGAAGGAATGAAAGACAATTCCCAAGAGGCATTATGTTAGAAATTCTTAACATTTCAAGGAAAATCTCTTTATGATTCTCTTTCCAAAAACTCTCGATCATACCGAGTCGTGGTCTTTGATAGGAAAATATCTTAAACAAGAGAAAATGAATATAGTTCATTTTCTCTTGTCGAAACTTATAAAGAGGAAACACAATACGTTCAATCATCCTTCACACATCCTTCATCCTTACTAAACTTTTTTTTTAACCAACTGATTTTTTTGATTTTCTTCTAGTGGATGGTGGTTTTACTGAATGGACATCTTGGTCAAAGTGCAGCCAGGAATGCGGTCGAACATCGATTAAGTCACGTGAGAGATACTGTACCAACCCATCTCCTGCTAATGGCGGGAAAAGATGCAAGGGAAGCAAATTCCAGGTTAAAATTTGCAGGAAAGACGGCTGTCCAGGTACGAGAAATATTCATGGCGATTAAAAATTGCATATTGATGATTATTGTTTTTCTTCATTAGGATGGTCAGGCTGCTCATAAGCAATGGCGTAGCTCCCCATAAAGTCTTACTGACCTTATAAATGGGCCTTTTTCACGCGGCCAATACAATAGGTTACAATAAATTGAACGATAGATTCCAACACGCGTGGCCTCAAGTGCTTGAAAATAAATGTATACGGGTTAAACAAAAGTTTTTATTCTCATGAAAATAAACTTGACAGCCGTGTGATAAAGGTCCATATAGCGGGAAATGAAACGCGTACGCGTGTATTTTGGCGGGAAAAGTGTACATTGTCCCCATCCCATCCCATGACCAAGATATCGCTACGCCCCTGCTTATAAGTACTCACTCACTGACTAACGTCAAAAAAACTGTCGAAAAAAGTTTTCTACCCGGCTACCACGATTCAACTACTGATTAACTTTCAAAGGAAAGATATTATAAGAAACTAGAGCTTATTGATATTTTTCTACCAATAGTTAATGGGAATTATACCGCGTGGAGTGATTGGACCGTATGTCCAAAGTGTGGTTTTGGTGTTCAAACCAGACAGCGAACCTGTACCAATCCTTCTCCGATAAACGGAGGAAAAGACTGCGAGGGGCCTGCAAAGGAGACACTGGCGTGCCCATTCAAACGGTGTAGAAGTAAGACATGGAATTTTTTAAACATTAGTAAATAGAAATTACGTAAAAAAAGGAAAGGTTTAACAGTATTGTTGATCAAAGTCCACTAAATGGCGACTGCGCTTATCTGGTAGTTTTTCTTTCTTATTCAAATTCGTATTAATTTCCACGTGAGAATAATGCAATTGCTGCTACTGAGATAACTACGCAGCACAAATAGTAAATGCGTACCTTATGTCAGCATCCCGCCAAGGAAGAGAGGGAACGTGACATCTCGTTTCTTCATTTTACAGAGACCATCTTGAGTAATATAGTAATTTCGGGGACAATAAGAGAACTAGTTTTGATGTTTTAATGGAAGAAGAAAACCGTACAACCAGTTCTTTTTTATCTCATCCTACTTATTGCGTATATATTGCAGGGTTACGGTACACTAGTGATGTCATCCAATAAGCCGTAACCAATCATATTACATGTAATTATTATTTTTCGTCCAATCAAAATAGCCGAATACAGCATTATCTTGTTGCTAGCTTACGTAGTACTTTTCTTTACACTCATTCTTCTGTAGATAACGGTTTTGGCCAATGGTCGTCGTACGGTCACTGCTCAAAGTCTTGTGGTGGTGGAGCAAAAATGAGACGAAGAACCTGTGAAGATGAATCCAAGGGATGTGATGGGAAGTTCGTTCAGTTGAAACCTTGTAATCAGCATAGCTGTGTCCTGGGTATGTCGTAATGTTATTTTCTCTGCTCGTGCAAAGGTTTTGATTACGTAGTCATTGTTTGATTACAATAGTTACGATATAAAGCGCGCTCTGATTGGTGGGATACAATGAAATAACTGGAATAAAGCACATGTCAAAACCATAGTGTTAATTTCCCTTTTGGTTGAAATTTACAAAAAGGAAGAAGTAAAAACGAAATGGCTTACCTTACCTTTGCGTTCTGAAGTAATTATAGTTTCCAATGAATTTACATTGGTTTTTGACACCCGCCTCCCTTTGCGAAGGTGCACAAGTATAGTGCCTACGCATCCTTTGAATTCGTTGAATACTAAGTAATCAGCCAATCAGAGCGCGCGTTCTTGTGCCCTTTAGTATGTTATACTTCTTAATTATGGAAGTCACGTTAACCTACCTTACAACAAATATGCAATTATTCCTTCTTTATTTGCGTTTATCTTCAGGCAATGATCATCTCATTGATGTCAATCCTGTAAGCCTGTGTGGGTTTAACCCTTGCAAAATATCTCGTTGCCTTGGTTACCCACAAGCAAAGTGTCTGACGTCATCGGGTTGTTGGCCAGTGTTTTTTGATAAGCGAGGGAATATCCTGGAATCTTGTAAAGGTAACGATGAGACAGACACGCATACACAAATACACACGTACACACGTACACACGTACACACGTACACACGTACACACGTACACACGGAGAGACTAAATGAAAAGCTAATAAACTGACTGTAAAAAAGCGGAGTTTGTCACTAATGATTGGCCAGTGTTTTTTGATAAGCGAGGGAATATCCTGGAATCTTGTAAAGGTAACGATGAGACAGACACGCATACACACGTACACACGTACACACGTACACACGTACACACGTACACACGTACACACGTACACACAGAGAGACTAAATGAAAAGCTAATAAACTGACTGTAAAAAAGCGGAGTTTGTCACTAATGAAAGTGCAATATTTTTTCTCGTGCAGGTGATAAAACAGTTTTCACTTCGTCCCCGGAGATGATCTGTCACAGCGATCCTTGTAAAGTGTCAGAGTGCTATACAGATGAGGTGGCAAGCTGTCATGTTTCTATACGATGTAAACCCGTCTTCTTAGACTCTGGTGGTAACAAGCTTGATTGCAGAGGTAAGTCATTATAGTACACATTTAGGGTCGATATCAATGTGACAAAGCCGTGAACAAAAACAATATCAGTGAAGTGATATGATATGATATCACTTCATGGTAAACTGGAAACTATGAGTTTTGTTATTTCATCGACTAATCTCTATATAGTACTAACTTCCATCGATGCCTTGGGAACAGATAGTTAATTGCTTTGATATCGATTGCAGACAAAAAATACAATCTTAAATTTTTAGCAATAACTTGTTAATATTCTTTTAATAAGTGTCAACTTTTGTTAAGTGAAGTCTTTATGAAGTCTGAAGTCAAAGCAGGATCGATGTCCTGACATTAGAATCGGGATCTCAGGTGTTGTTCACCGAACGGAATCCTTTATCTTATAAACGGTTCCCATTTCAAAGCGTCTGGGAAAACATCCAGATTGAATAGAATATATATATTTGTCTCATGTTCTTCATAAAGCATCAAAGGGAAAGAATTGTACGTACTGAGCGTTGATTGCAATATCAGACAAATGTAACAAAGAACGTAGCAACCACTTTTGGTCTCTTCATTATCATAGTATCCTCTGCACCTCAAAGTTTAAACTTCGGACAAGAGCATTGTCACTTTGAATTAATTTCTGTCTTGTTTTCCAGGTTTACTGAAGGTGCCGCCCATTACTTTATGCGGAGCGGACCCGTGTGAAGGCAGCTCATGTGACCTTGACAAGAATGCTCGATGTGTGGCGGATTACAACTGTAATCTCGTGTTTATTTCCACAGAAAACGAAATCCTAAGCAAATGCAAAGGTAAATTAATAATAGTGATAATCTTCATGACTTTTTGGGTTGCACGTATAGCCATAGCCGCCATGTTGGATATACGTCTTTGTCATTGGTTCCTTTAATTTTTATCATCCAACATGGCGGCCGTGTCTGTAATTATCGAGTCACATTGACCCATATTGGGTAAATTTTCCACATATTTTTCTTCAGAATTACTTTGTCTACCGTTAAGCAAGTCATGCACGGCTTTCGTAAAGCGCCATGTTGGATAAATATTCGATTGATATTTTAATAGTAAACTTTTGTTTGTCATCCAACATTTCGCCTTGATTTTTAACTGTACGTTTTAGTAATTTTTAAACGTTAAAAGAACAAAACAAAAAACAAAAAAATTAACAAAAAATCAAATGGCGAACAAAGTATGATTAAAACTAATTATTTACAATCGTAATATCATTTACAGTAAGCAAATACCGAGACAACGACTACATCATTAACAGCAAAGCAGGAAAAAGAAGATAATTGACATAAACCAAGATATGGAGAATATGAAGTCGCAAATGCAAGCCTTCCTGAGGAATAGCCGCGGGAATAACGAGAAGGTTGAAACGATAGCAGAATACCACAGCCAGTACAACCCCGGTCTTACCGCTGACCAGCAGGACGACTTGGAATATAAACTTCAACATCTTAAAAAGAGAAATCGATTTTATAAACCAAAACAATCATGTTTATAATTCTGAAGACAACAAACAATTTCTAGACAATTAATGTACAGTGTAGTTAAGATATTCGAGAAAAATACGGATAAACGTCCGGTTTATAATGTACTTGCGTGCGCTTGACTGTTGTTTCAGCATGAATAATCCTGCATGTTTTGATGACACTTTGCATCCCTGTTTTACAGCTTTAATCACTACCAGTGCCAAACATGGGCTTTCTGTGGTTATGTTGATTTTCAAAACAGACAAATTGTATGAGTTCCTTTACAAACTAAATAGCGTACATTTAGATAATTTTGCATAGGACACAGGGAGCCCACTGTTCAGAAAACATGATCGAAAAAGGGGTCTCAAAGTTTTCTGTCGATAATAAATTTTAACAATTTGGTAAACATGACTTAATTACAGCAGTAATTGAATTTATAGAGAGCATACCTATAAACTGATCAGTGCTACTGACTATAACGTGATCTGCGTATGTAAATGAGAGATAGATTAAGATAACATAGATACATACGTATATTGAGACTTTACATCACAGCCGAAATGTTGAATCGCATAAACTAAAAATATACACTAAATGATCATCGAAACCTTTATATAGGAAGAAGAAGAAAATATAAATATGCAATAAGGTTATGTGAGTTCTATGATAAATAAAAGTTAAACCTTAAAATACAGAGTCTCCACTTGAGAGTGATAACGCTACTACTATGTAAGCAGTTGGAAAATTGTTAGACAAACCCTATAGCCCATGGTTTTGATCAAGTTTGGACCATTTTCACACCTTTTCCAAAAATATCCATTATTCATGAAGGATGCAAAATAGGTCATTTTTGGCCATTTTTGGGCAAAAAGCATGGGCTATAGTCCATGGTTTTGATCGATTTTGGACCATTTTCACACCTTTTCCAAAAATATCAACTATTCATGAAGGATGCAAAATAGCTCATTTTTGACCATTTTTGGACAAAAAGCATGGGCTATAGCCGATGGTTTTGATCGATTTTCTACCATTTTCACACCTTTTTCCAAAATATCCATTATTCATGAAGGATGCAAAATAACTCATTTTTGGGCAAAAAGCATGGGCTATAGCCCATGGTTTTGATCGATTTTGGACCTTTTTCACACCTTTTCCAAAAATATCCA